TTATTATTGCTATTATTAGTGATATTATTCTAGTAAACCTAATGTCGCTACCACCACTTCCCTCACAAAAACTACTAATACTGCTACTAATAATAATACTAATTCTGATACTAATATTAGCACTAGTACTACTACTACTAATACTAATACTACCACAACTACTACTACTACTACTACTACTAATAATAATAATAATAATAATAATAATAATAATAATATCGCAAATGAACAAGAAAAAATGAAAATAAACTTATGAAGCATAGATTGCTGACAGTTAGTTCTCCTGATGAGTTTCTTAATTTTCGTTTCATTTACCTCCTTAATAATACGTTCCTTACCATTTCTCATTTTTAACTTTCGAAAAAAAAGAAAAAGAAATTTCAGACCTTACGATTTATCGCTATCATACAAGCGAACACTAACATTCAAGCACACGAACAAACAGCTACTTGTACATGCAAAAACAGCCTTAGATACACAGAAACCGAAAAAGACAAAGAAAGAATGAGAGAATCTTAATCAGTGCTTCGATCAGAAAGAAGTGCTACAGTTTTGCTGTTCCTTTTGATCAGCCTCTGTTTACAAAGTCAAAAATGAAAAAGGAGAAACTAAAAAGAAAAAAAATATACAGAACAGAACAAAACAGAATAGAGAGACGAAAAAATCAAACAAAAAATATACAAAAAAAAACTTTTTATTTACCTGTTTTGGAACCATATCTTAATTTGCCTCTCTGTCAGCTGAAGGCTTGACGACAACTGAGCTTTTCGTTCTGCATTAATAAAATGTGACAATAAGAATTCTTTTTCCAATTCCAGCCGCTGATGATCCGTATATACCATACGATATTTCTCGCTAGTTCTAACACGAACATCTGAAAACAACAATAATGATAGTAAAGGAAAATAGCACAAACCAGCAAATGAAAATAAGGAAAAATACATCGGAATCTATTGCTAAAAACATTCGTGTCCAAGAATGTAAATCCAGAGACCATAAAAAAGATCAACCGTTACAGAGCAGAGTGCCGGTGTATAAAGTGATGAGCAGAAAAGTGAGAAATTTTTAAACGTTACAGTAATCAAAGTGCTGTTGATGATTGCAGCTCTATAGCACTATGGCCGGTTTGCATGATCAAAAAGTTTGCGCTTTACTTATGCACTTTGAGTGTTTTTTTTTTTTTCTTTTTTTTTTGTTGTCTATGATGCAAATACAGTCTTAAGAGTAGGTTTGATCTTCAAATATGATAAAAAAAATAACACAAAAAAACTACCAAACAGTAGCTAACTATTTTGTTTTTAAATGCTTTTTTTCCTTTTTTGAATATCTTTTTGAAAAGATCACTTGTTTTTTGTCCTTCAAATGAATAGGAAGGATCATTAAAACTGTTGAATTTAAGATATAAATTGAGCAATTTGCTACTGTATTTTGCAGATTCCTAAATGTTGGAAAGTTTTAAAGCAGAATAAAATGATAATAATAATAATAATATTAATAACAATAATAAAAATAATAAAAAATAATAATAATAATAACAATAATAATAATAATAATAAT